CCCCCCGCAGCCGCGGCCCCGCCCACCCTGAGCCCAGCGCAGGTGGGAAGAAAGGGGTCCGCGAAGGGGGCCGGCTCGGAGGGGGCAGGGCGGGGCCAGGCACTTCCGGTCACACCCGACTGGCACCTAGCTCGGGTGCTGCGCCTTGAAGGTGGTCGCTGCCCCTGCTTCGCCCCAGTCCCACAGTGATCCCCACCACTGTCGCTGTCCCTTTATGGGGTCCCCGCTCAGAGTAAGAAGCGGATGGGGGGGAGTAGGGAGACACCCGCCCCCGCCCCCCGCAGGCAGCAGGTCAGGTGCGCCCTCGCTGCGGAGCAGGAGAGGAGGGGGCACAGGCGGTCTGGCAGAGAAACCCTCCCCTCCTTTCCGCGCCCGGCCCCTGACCCACAGCTCCCCAGGGCTCGCCCACCTTGCACGGTCACGGCCACCTTGGCGGAGAACATGGGCGCGCTCTCCACCGGGATGCGCATGGTGCCCGAGCACTGGTAGCGCCCGCTGTCGCCGGCGCGCGCCTGCGGCACGGTGTAGTTGGCGCTGGAGGCGAAGAAGCGCACGGCGCGCCCGTCGCGGTAGTAGTGCAGCTTGTAGACCGCCTTGTCGTACCAGCCGCGGCAGCGCAGCACCAGCGGCTCGCCCTCGAACACCGCCGCGAAGGGCACTTGCAGGATCAGCCAGTCTGCGACAGTCACCACACACCCCACTCCAAGACAAGGTCCAGCCCCGGGGTCCCCCGTTCTCTCTGCATCCCTGCTCCCCCACCCCAGCTGCTCTCCTTCTCTGTGTCAACTCACTCCCTGACTGAGCAGCAGGCACCCCGAAATCTCAGCCCGATGTGCTAGGAGGGGCGTGGGGAGGGAATGGGAGGCCAAGACGCCTGAGACTCGGTTCCAGCCTCCAAGACAAATGCCCACCGGAATCCTGGTTAAGCTCCTTGGGATGGCTCAGGGCCTGCCCACCTGGCGCCCGACCTCCCGGCACCATCCCAGCACCCCCTGTGCCCAGCGGCTCCTTTGCCTCCCCACCTTCCACTCCCGCAGACAGTCCAGCCAAACTGAAGTGCTGGGGGCACCCGCCCTGCTCTGAGGGGCCGGGGCCTGGCGCCTGCTGTCTCCTCCGCCAGGGAGACCCTTCACCTGTTCTCGCTGAGGGCTACTTGTCCTGCTCAGACATCATGTCCTCCAGAAAACTTCCTGCCCTGCCGCGAGAGGCCAGGCACCCAGCACAGAACCTGTGTTTACCCTGCTCGTCACAGCCAAGAACAGTGGCACAGCCCTGGCACGAGCCAAGTGCGACTGTAGGTGTTTTCTTGAGAAGGAATTCTGCAGGTTCTAGCCACAGCCCAGATGCACTCCCAGGTCTGCAAGCAGTGCCCGCCGTCTCCTGGGGCCAGCATTTCACCTGTACTCGCTGTCAGTGTCCAAGCAAGAAACGCGAGGCGTGGACGCGAAGCGCGGGGCAGTGCCAGTCCGAGCGCTGGGGGGTGGCCTTAGACGCTGAACGCAAACTGTGGCCTAGCGGGCCAAGATGACATCATACACCCGGTCCTGTGCCCTGACTGACAACTTTCTCTTCTCCCATTTCGAAAGCCTTTAAGTATCCCCAGGGGCCAGTTTCCTAGTTGACCCCTGAGCACATGTTGTACCTGTTGTAATAGAATCTTGACCACGTGCTCTGTTCAGCTGCTGCTTTTTCCTTAACAACATGTTGTCATTTTTCGTATTCACAACAACCAAAGTCACAGCTACTGTGATTGTCCCTGCTTTGCCGATGGGAGGACAGAGACGCATCAGTCTGGAGTTGTCCCCCAGCGGCAGGTAGCCTGCTGGGGGGGGGGGGGCACGTTTCCTGCTTCGCCCGTTCTCTGAGCAGTGTCCCAGGTCCCACAGCCTCTGCCCTCAGAGCTAGTCTCATAAACAAACAGAAGCGGGCATTTGCCGCCTGCCGTGGGTGTGGGTGGGTGAGGGGCGGGGCTGGCCTCACTGCATCTCCCGCACAGGGCACGCAGCCGCTGCCCTCCGCGGCGGCCCGCAGCACAGTGCAGACACTCACCGGTGGACACGGAGAGGTGGACAGGGTCACTGACGGGCGCTCCCCGAGTCTGGCAGCGATATGCCCCTGGGGCCTGGACCTCGATGCTCGCCCTGTGCGAGGGCAGCAGCAGGTGGCCCAGGTACCACAGGGTGCTGACGGGCCGCAGCTCCAGCACCAGCGGGCGGTCCCCATCGCAGCGCAGGGTCACCCGCTCCCCCTTGAAGATGGTGGTCCAGGGCGGGTGTAGAGACAGCGTGGGCTTCTCCAGAGCAGCTGGCAGCGGGCGGGGGGAGAGGGTGGGGCGCCAGTGGTCGCTCTGGGAGGCAGTCTCAGAAATCCTCAGTCCCCAGGGCCCCGCCCGGCGCGCAGCCGCCCCTGCGAGAGCCCGAGCCCAGGCAACGCGCGGCGTGGACCCACTTCCGGTGCCGCAGCAAGCGGGTCCACGGGGAGGGTGGAGCAGTGGCAAAGACACTGTCCCGGAGTGGCCCAGGGCGGGGAGACCCAAGCGGGCTGCTCAGGGGCTTGGGGAGAAGGCACAGAAGACCCGGAGAGGGATCCTAGACTCACCAGCTTGTCCGCTGCTTGGAGCTGCCAGACAAGAACCGCAGGAGAGAGGAGAGCGTGAGCGCGGGGCAGGCGCCCTGGGCCCGGCAAGACTCGGCAGCTCCGGGGCCCGTCTTCTTCCGCCTTATCTCCCGGCTCTGAGAAAGCCCTGCCTCTGTACCCCTCCAGGGGCCCCGAGCGGAGGATCACGTGCGCCCCAGCACGCACGCACACACGCACACGCACGCATGTGTTCACACACGTGGGCACACATGCACACTGCGCACACACGCGCTCACACATGCAGCACACATGCACACGCACACGTACAGGCACACACGTGCTCACACGCGCACACGCACACGCACGCTCACATGCACACACGGCCTGCCTGCGCTCCTCCCCACGCCAAAGCCCCAAGCCGCTGTTGCCTCCTCGCAGACTCACCCAGGAGCAGGAGGGTCGTCAGCGCCCACATGGCTGACCCGCAGCAGCAGCAGCAGGCGGTGGAGACGCTGCATGGGATGGGGCAGGGGAGGGGGTGGCCGCTGCTGACCACCGGCTGGGGTAGGCACTGCTGCTTCTCCCACGCACCCCTAACTCCCGAAGATGGCGGACTGCAGAGAGCACGCGACGGGCCTGATGCGTGTCACCCTCAGGTGTCCCAAGCACCCCACCGCCCCACCTACCACCCCACAAGCAACCTCCCATCTCAGACCAGCCCCAGCTCCTGTCGAGAAGGCCTGCTGAGCAGAGCTTGTGCTCTCTGCCACCCCAAGAGAGCCACGTGGAACCCCAGGCTCTGGCAGGTGACCCTGCCACTCACCGCCAGGCTCCCATCGACACCCCACTCCCATCCCACGTCCTCCCCACCCTCCGGCTGGCCCCATAAGCCTCAGTCGAGGAGATAAATCCTCAGGTTCTGGAGGTGCCCCCAGGGCCTTTGTTCTGCCCACTCCCTGATGACAGACACAGGTGGGAGGCCTGAGTGAGGCCGACACCAGGCTCCCTGCGCTCACGCCCTCCGCAGATGAGCAGACAGAAATACATGACTCCAGTGTCCCAGGCAAGGGAGAAACGCAATGTGCTTGCCTGTCGTCTTTCTCCCTTCCTGACACCCCAAGCCCTCAGAAATCCTAAGTCTCTTCTACCCACCCACTGCGGTGCCCTCAACTTATGGCATCTTCACACGCGTGTGTCTCTCTTCCTTCCTTCCGTCTGTCCCTGCACCCTCCCCCAGCCACCTCACCTGTGGCAGAGAAGTCACTGCATCAGCCCCTCAGAAGCCTCTCAGATCCTACCTCCCGCTGGACTTCTTGTGCTGAGTCACAGGACCCTGCCCTGAGCAAGGGGGAGCCTGAATTCTCGTGTAAATACTTAATGAAGTTTCCAGCCCGATAGGGTGTCTGCCTGGACGGTCTCCTGTCCCCATCTGCAGCTGTTTGGTCCAAGGCGCCCCCTTCCCGCGGAACTCTGGGGGACAGAGATTCTCAGGCAGCAAGGACTCCTGAAGACAGTCCCTTCCCCCTGCTCACTGACGACGCCCATAGCCCGGCTCTGAGAATTCCGGCGGTTTCTCTTCTCTTCCTGTGCCAGTCCTGGTTAACAATGCAAATGCCTCGTGGAAACTGTGATTGGCGCTTACATTAGGCGCCGCTTCAGATGCTGTTTTGAGAGTGGCTTTTGGTGAAAGAGACCTAGGTTTGGAAGTTAGGGATCTGGTGATGCCAGCGGTGGCCAGGGGGGCGGGCGCGGGGCGGACCTGGGCACAGAGCTCCTAAACTGTCTGCTCTAGCAGGGCGCCCCACGTCCTGCCTGCCTCCACATCCCAGGGCCGGTGTGGGCCCCCACATCACCCACGGTCTGATTTCCGGCCAGCACCACCTCTGCGATAAGCACGTGATGCCCACCAGCCGCCCCGGGTCCACGCCAGCTGACTCGATTGGCTCCTCATCGCTCGGACACAGACTTCGGCCTGTTCACCACATTCCACAGGCAGCCGGGTTATGCCAGAAACTCAGGAAGCGTGCGGTGCCCCCTGAGAATCCAGAACCCTCGGAGGGGTCACCTGGCACGGTGCCCGGAATTCAGCTCGAAGACTCTCCCACCCAGCATTTCTTTCTTCCAGACTTCTACATTTCCCCCACATTGGAGCTTTATCTCCGTCAAAGACGTTTTCCCCACAGAATTCGTAACTCTTCGCCCCTTTGCCACACAGACGCTTGGCAGCGATCGCTGGTTACCAGAGCGATTCTCCAAAGGTTATCACAGCTTAACTTCCAGACAAAACGCCGTCATCTGACAAGGGTTCGGGGAATAAATGTCCTCAGGGATGACGATGGCGATGACGCCGCTCGCTCTCCGCGAGTGCCCGAGCGTGTACCGGGCGCCATGACACATGCTTCACAGATGCCGCCTCGTTAGCTCACACTTCAACCTCCAGTGTGACCGTATCCTTTGTTTTCCTGCGGTGTGTCTGGAATGGCCACTCACGGAACCGGCACAAAGGAAGAACGAGGTGGCCAGCTGGGCACAGCCGGGCACCGTAATTGAGGAGGACGCTGGCCGAGGTCGTTATTGACAGGCGTGCCAGCTCGGTGACCGAGGCTCCCTGCCAGGCTGGCCCCCACGGCAGAGCACGCACGGCGGGAGCTCAGGCAAGTGTGGTTATGAACCAAAATAGATTTACGGTGTTTTTCAAGAAAAATCGTCCAGAGACAACGTAACTGAAACAAACGATCGCTGCTCCCACAGCATCGTGCTCGGGCACAGATTCCCCAGCGCAGAGGGGCCTGTGGCGAGACCCCAGCTGGCTTTAATTATGTCACGGGGCGTTGCTACCTTCCGACTCTGTCCCGACCCCTACAGACAGAGACACCAGCTTCCACATGTACCTAATGCCACAAGTGCCACAAACCCCAGCGGCAGAGTAAACCCAGAGGCGGAGCCGCCAGCCCCACCGCTCCCCTTAGGCAGGGGCTTCTACAGCTGCTCGTGGGGGCTGTCCTCTCTGTGTTTGGACGTGTGGCAGGAACCCTGTTTTCCACTCACTAGGTGCCAGGAGCAGCCCCTCACCCGCCCAGTGTGACAACCAGTACCGTCACCGGACATTGCCGTAAGTGCTCTGGGCGGGGGCCTGGGGGTCGCCCCCGGTGGAGTCTGCTGCCTTAAATCCGGCCCACGGCTTCTCTTCGATCACCAGACTCAGGTCTGCGCAGCAGACAGCAACCCCCAGTCTCGAGAGCAGGGCATGACGTCACACCAGGAGAGAGTATGCACCTACAGCTCAACTCCAGGTGTCGCTTTGCACGAATTTATTTATACTCACCGACCTCCTAACAAGACACTGGGAACTCGTGGCAGTTCTGGGTGTGTGTACGGTGGGGGGGGAGAGGAAAGTGGAGAGAGCTGGGTTTGGGGGTGGGGGTGACAACTCTGCGGGTGGCTGTTCACTCATGCTCGGCACGACCCTTCATGGTCTCGAGCTTCAGGTGGCCAGACAAGTCCCTCAGCTCCGTGACCAGGTGACCAAGGAGAGCCTGCACGTCCTGCATTTGCTTGAGAAGAAGTGTCATCTGGTGGAGCAGATGGGGATCCAGTGCCTGCAGAGGCGGGGTGGGGGCTGGGTCCAGGGAGGAGGGGACGGGCGGTGGGGGCTGGGGCCCGGGGGGCTCCACTGCAGGTGTCCCTGGAGCGGCTGGTTTCTGAGGGGCTGGCTTCGAGGCCGGGGGTGCAGCAGAGCTGGAGGGACCTGGGCGGTGGGGTGGGAGACACGCACAGTGAGGCCTGGTCCTGGCCAACCCGCACACTCTGAAAGTGGCCGTGTGGCCCACGGCCGCAGAGACTGGGGTCCACATCTGCACCTGAAGCTGGGCCACAGGCATTGTCGTTAGAGGGCCATGGGCATCAGCGGTGCCTCCTGTGTCCAGGGGGTGCATCGGTCCCTGCGGGGCTGTGGCACCTGGCCCTGGGCCTGCCTCATTATTGTGCATGAGTGACGTGAGTGCCGTCTGTCCTCTGTGCCACCCCCAGTGTCTGGGGATGTGCTGCTGGTCCGAGTCACCTTCCCTCCTGGGCGAGCCTGTGCCACCCCTTCTGGTCCTTTTCCTACAACGTGGCCCCAAGTTCCCATAACCCCGGACACCCCCTCTGGGCGTGATCCAGCCACCAGCAGCCTCCGCGGCGGGGCCCCAGCCTTCACCGTGCACCGCGCCCCACAGCCGCACGGCTGGGCCCCGTCCTGGTTCGGTGAGGCGTCACATGGTCAAGGGAGACGTCCCCTGTGCATGCTCCCGCCATCACCAGGGACTGTGGCTCACGGCCCCTGCCTCCCGAGTCCTTTCTGAAGCGGCTGACACCGAACCCCAGCCCAAGGCCCCGCCATGCTGCCCCCCACTTTCCACACACGCCAACTCACCCTGCACCCTGACCTCCAGCTCGGGGCTCCGTTTCCAAACCCGGCTGTCCTCGGTGATAGCTTCGCACCAGTAGGAGCCAGAGTGGGCCGCTGCGGCCGCGGGCATCTGCAGCTCCGAGGACGGGCCCCAGCCCCGCAGGGCCCCGCCACCCTTGTAGAAGGCAAAGAGCAGGCGGCCGGCCGGCCTCTCCCGGCGCAGCTGTGTCCGACAGCTCAGGGTCACCGCGGTCCCCTCCCGGGGCTCGGCTGAGGGACTGGCTCTGAGCACAGGGTCTGGGAAGAGATCTGGGGTGACAGGTGACAGAGAAGGGTCAGACCACCTTGCTCAGGGGACACACGACCAGTGCTGTTCGAACCTCCCGCATCTTCTGTCTTCACGTGGACGGGACTAGAGAGGACTCAGTAACGGGCCAGTGTGACCGTCGTCCACCCAGCGGACACGGGGACGCATAGGTCATAGGTCATGGGTCTGCAGGGCAGAGTGTGGGAATCACGGGGGCTCTGAGCGGCCAGGTGACTTGAGAAGGCGGCACCCTGCCCCTGACGCCATCGGGGACCTGGCCAGCTCCGGCGAGGCCGTGCGGTCTCAATCCCTCCCCCGCTGCCCCCGCCACCACCACGCTGCCCCCACTCTCACCTTGGACGGCAACGGCCACGGGAGACGCCGTCTGCAGGCTCCCAGGCCCAGGGCCCCTGAACATGGCGCTGCAGTGGTAGTGGCCGCCATCCGCCTTCCGCAGGGCAGCGATGGAGAGCTCCCTGCTGGGCCCGGGGGGGCCCAAGGCTGCGCCGTCTCGGTAGAAGGTGACCTGGGTCAGTGGCCAGTCCTGCCAGGCCTGGCAGCGCAGGACCAGGGCGTCTCCTTCAAACATGGGCATGGCCGGGCTCTGGAGGATCAGCCAGTCTGCGGCCAAAGGGAGGGCTGAGTGTCCCCCAGGGCCTTCCTGGGGAGACCCCAATGCTGCCCACACGGACCCCCCAGAACTCTCTCTGGGCATCCGGGACCCCCACAATTTCTCCGGGACCCAGGGCTGAGGGGGCAGGGGCGTTTCGTCAGGGCCACTGCCTGGGGCACCTTCCCGGGGGCTGCGGGGCTGAAGGGCAGATCGGGAAACGGGGGAAAGAGCCTGCACCGGCCAGCGCCCCGCAGGGCCTCACCGTACGACACAATCAGGTGGAAGGGTTTACTGAAAGTGTAACCCTTGACCTGGAAGTCCCTGTCCCTGGGGCCTGTCACATCGCTGGCCGTGTGGCAGCTGCTGTCCCGGGTGCTGACAGGTCCTTCGCACTGCAGCATCTCCAAAGCGACGGCTAAGGAGGCAGCGGTCCCAGAGGACCAGGGAACGAGACTGTGACTCAGAGGAGGAGGACAGAAGACCGCCCCCCGGAGGGTCCCCGCGGCCGTCGTTTCGGAGACGCACACGGGTCTCTCAGGGGGTCACTGCGATTCGACGCACTGGCTTCCAGTGCTCGGTGAGTGGGCTGTGGTTTGGGGACGAGAGCGGGGAAAGTTACTCACCTGCATGACACCCAGCTGCTGTGCAGGGAGCATGATGACCCCGACGACCCGTAGCCGGTGGACACAGGACAGGAGGGAAGGGAGACGTCAGACTCCACCCCCGGGGGAGTTTGCCGTGCCAGGCAGGGCTGGGCACGTTCACGCGCCATCGCGTTTCGTTGTCGCAAGGTTTCTGGGTATGTGGCTTCTGCCCCACTTTACAATCTTTAAGAAACGGGCTTAGAAAACTCAGCGAACTTACCCAAAGTTTAGGAAGAGAGTTGGGAATGGAGCGAGAAAGGCAGGTCTGTCTGAGTCCAGCACCTGTGCGCTTTCTACTCTGCTGATGCCACCTCAGTCCTCGGACCCTCGCTGGGGACCGTCGCCCACAGCCTCGCTGTCCCAGCGGTCCCCCGGCCCTTTGCCCGTGACTACGCTGGCGCCGAACCGCTTTCAGCGCCGGCCACGGGGCCCTGCTGCTCCCCGCTTCGCCCTCGGCCAGCACTGCCTTGCCGTCCTCTGCCCTGCGAAGTCTCCCTGACGGCGACCTCTCTGCCGCCCCGAGCCCCGCTCGACCCCGTAGCTGTGGAGCAGTTCTGTCCGCTCCCCTTGGAGCCGAGAGCTACCATCCCCATCTCCGTGAGCTTCCTGTCCCCTCCGTCCTCCTCCCCCTCGCTGACCTCTAACCTCCCTCAGCAAGGCTCCTCTGCTTCCTACTCCTCATTAGCTGGAGCCAGGTGCTTGGTCCCTGTCCTCTGCGCCCCCATCACCCCTCGCTACCGTTTTTCAGTTCCTCCTCTGTCGTTCAGAGGGACTCAGCCTCGTCTCCTTTCTGAAAATAAAATCTGGTTGGGCTCTCTGGCACTTTCGCTCAACAAACCACGTGGTAGTCATCATTATTCTCATTTTACGAATAAAGAAAAAACAAATTCGTGGCTATAAAAAGTGACTTTTGCAAAGTGGCACAGAGTTAGTAAAAACAAAAAAGAAGGGGTCGAAAGCTGAGTGTCCGCTTCCACGTGTGGCCACACGCCGCTCCGTGTCCTGATCACCCCGCCCCGGCCTCGGGAGCTCAGATGCACGTTCGACGTCACCGTCACCGAGCAGAGATGAGACAAGTGCTGCGCATTTGAAGGCAGAGGAGACGAGGCGGGAAGACAGAAGCCAAAGGCCTGGTCCTGCCTACGAGCCGCTCAGCTTAGTGGCGGCGGCACAGGCACACGAAGCCGTTGTTTCAGCCCAGGGGGGAAGTGACAAGAAAGGGGTGTCAGGCCGCTGTTGGGACAGAGGAGGGTTCAGGAAGGCTTCTGGGTGCAGGGGCCACCTAGGGATGCTGGAATGTGTGGGTGGGGGCTCATGTCAGCAGCGGGAGCGGCGTGAGCAAAGCCCAGGGACAGTGCACCCAGCGTGAGACTGCGGGGCTGGGCCTGGCCGGCTCGGGCTTGCTGGGGCGCAGCCGGGTCAGGAGCGAGGGCCACAGCTGGGCCCCGCACAAAGCACGCTGGCCGCAGAGTGCGGAGCTCACTTCAAGGACACGAGGCTGGCCCAGGTCAGAATGGTGACGGCTCCTCCTGGCACATACTCGGTGCGCTCCAGGGGACAGTGCAGAAGGTGAACTTCGCCAAACCTGATAACTGACCACACACAGAGCGCAAGGAGAGGCGGGGAGTCTGCTGTGTCTCCCAAGTTCTCGCCCCGGGCGGAAGCCACTGACTGGGCTGGGAGAGGCGGGGCCGAGGGGACAGGTGGGTTCAGCTCTGCTGACTCCATGCTGCCCCGCGGTACCCGTGAGACCTGTCTTGTGCAAAGCTTGGTATTTGAAAATGGTTCGGGCTGGAGATGAGGTTTGGGACTCAACGATGCAGTTTCAGTGGTAAAAATTCTACCAACAAATAAGCTCGCGGGGGGTGGGGGGACGCGGCACAAGGAAGGACGAGCAGGGCGTCGAGGGAGCACCGGTGGGAACCAGTCCAGGGAGCACCGGTGGGAACCAGTCTTTAAGGGGCAGAGAGGGCAAACCAGCGGGAGGGACCGACACAGGTGGCCGGAGCAGAGGGGGAAACGGTGCGGGGCACGGAGCGTAGAGGCCCAGCCCGCAGCAGGCGACGGCCGCACCATGCAGCCAGACGCCCTGCAGGATGAGGAGGGCGAGCGCGGGAAGGCCCGGTGACGCCACTGTGAACACCGAGGGGCAAGTGACAAGCGCGGAAGTGGGGACAGCAAGCACAGACGACCCTTTGTCTGCAGAAACGAAGGCAGCGTTGCGTTGTCCCTGGGGGGGGCATCGTCGTCCGGGGACCGTCACAGGAAAAGGCTGGGAGTGTCCCCACCCTCAGCCCGCGGCCCTGCACACAGCTTCCCGCGTCCGCCCTCACGCCCGCCTGGGAGCCGCCGCTCGGACGGCCGAAGTCCGTCCAGGTGTCGCCCCTCCCGGTCCTTTCTCGAGCTGGGCCGCGGCCTGTCCCGCACCAGCACCCAGTGTTCACTCACCCAGCAGCACCCGGGCTGCCCAGAGCACAGCAGGACCGGGGAGGACCCTGGCCGTGAGGACGCCGCCCTGCTTCATGGTGACGGCCGGCCGGCCTCCTGTGGCCTCCGGCGCCTGGCTCTCTCCAGCTCGCAGCCTCTCAAATTAGAGAGGGGAAGTGAGCCCCACGGCCTCGCCTCCCTGCTTCGGGGCCCGTTCCCAGCGCTGTGATTGGCTTTCATCGTTCGCCTTTGGGCTCAGCGTCGGCCACATCCTCAGGGTTGTGGGTGAAACGACAGTGACCCCAGCTGCTCAAAACCCCACAGGGAGCTCAGGGAGCTCCCAAGCATGTCACTATCTGACACCCAGTGGCCACTACGGACACTCGGGGCAGGTCAGTGCTGACCGGCGTTTCCGTGGGGACGCGCTGGGCGCAGGAGTTGGCTGAAGGCCGTGCAGAAAGCCACTGGGACAGCAGTGATGGGGGGAGCGTCCCACCCTGTCCTGCTCCAGCCCATACACGTTTCTAGTGACCGGGCCAAAGCAAGGCAGGGGGCAGACGGTGGCGCCGGCACCGACTCGGACACCGGACTCGCCCGCACAGGCTCCGACCACCCCGCGCCCGCGCGCGTGCACATTCGCTTCCCGGACATGTGTCTGGGCTCCGACGGCAGCACAGGAGGCTGTGCAGTGCCAGCGGGAACCTGAGTGTGAGGCCCAGACAGTCCCCTGGGGAAAAGGACAGAAAAAGGACACCGGCTTCCAGAAGGCCCAGCGGGGAGCCGGGCTCTGACCCCGCGACCAGAGACGGGAGGCATCGGGTGGCTGGAGCAACCTGAGGAGACCCAGGAACGGGGCAGCTCCCCGGGCTGCAGGCGGCCCCTGGGGACCACTGTCCCTGTCTCCGAACGTCTGCTGTCCGATGGCGGCGCCCCTTCTCCGGGGGACCACCCTCCTCTGCCCTCCCCACCATTACACCCCCCAGGCCCCCGCGGGCTCTGTGGAGATGGGAGGAGAGATTGGAAACGGGGGTGGGGGGGGCGGGGGGACACAGTCCTGCCCCGGGGCGGGGGCCAGCGTGACCTTTCAGCTGTGCAAAACCACAGACCAGTGTTGGCAGCGCGCTGGAGCAGGCGGATCGCTCTCAGCCTAAATGAAACAGTTAGAATAAAGTTTCCATGCAGAGAGGCGGGTGTGCTCGTGCAGGTGGCTCGGGGCAGCCGGGGTGGGAGTGTGGGCGTGGGGGAGGCAGCCAGGCGGTGAGCCAAGGACGACGAAAGGAAGTCCCAGCACAGCAGCTGTGCAGGCTGCCAGAGACTGAGCTATCCAAACGAGGATCGAAGAAGATAATTCCAGGACCGGCTTCTTGCTGATGGAAAAGAAATAGAGAGAGAGGGAGAGAGAGACAGACAGACAGACAGACACAGAGAGACACAGAGAGAGAGAGACTGAAAAACTACTTGGTCATTTGACCACATGGGAAATAGTCTTGTGCTGCTTCAGAATGTTTTTGAAAAAACTGGGTAAAGCTAATAATAGGCACGTAGAAAACTAACAAAAGAGAAAAACAAAGCAGTTATTATCTCTTGAAAGGAAAAACAGCTGGTTTGGGAAAGGAAATATAATCAGAGGACGGCATTTGTCTCATCCACTGCGATAAAGTCCCGCTGGGGGCCGGGCGGACGCGGCGGGAGGTGAGCGGGCGCGGGAAGAGCCGCTGCATCTGCAGCAGGAAACCGAAAAGATAAGAGATGATGCCGAAAAATCGAAACGCCAGCACTTCACGCTGCTGGGAAACATGGAGGTGAGTGAGCAGAAGACCTCGTTAAAATCGTTGAGAGAGGTCGCCTCTGGGAACAGGACTGAGGGGTACGGCAAGAAACGGCCATTTCTCGTTATATGCCTCGTGCTCTATTACACAGGTCCAATGATGTGTGTGTTACTTTAATAGAAAGTAAAAATGTATTTAACAATGAAAGACGGCGTTGTCTTTATCAATACATTCAAAGATACCCACCCGCAGACAAAGCATACGGCCACGCCAATATGCAATGAAGGTGGAAAATAACAACCAAAAGGTACTGAGAATAAAATAAACAAAACGGATCACTCTTCTAAATAAACCTCGAGTAAAGAAGAAAATAAAACTAAAGCCGTGGATTGTTTAGAAACAAATAATGACAGGAACGCATATCAAAATCTAACAGATGTGGCCAAAACAGCAGTAAGAAGAAAAGTTACGGCCTTTTGTGGATTCGTTTAAAAACAGATGTTTAGAAAAAAATGAGTAATACAGTAAATCTAAATAGAGTAGAAGAAAGAATACATCAAGAAACAAGCAAAAGGCAAAGACTCGATCATCAAATCAAAAGCTGCTGTGACGAGTCTTATGAAATGGACACACCTTCTGATGATGATATACAAGTACGGTGATCGAGGCGGGTGACCCTCCCGTGAAAAGCCAAGTAAGTTATGACAGTTCACCTTCTCCGCCTCCCCACAGACCGACGCAGGGACGGGCAGGCGACCCAGTGCCGACCAGCACCACGTGATGGGAAGATTACTGGAGGGAGCTTTCCTCACTCTTAAGCGACGCGGAAGGGGTAGTCGTTCCCTTTGTTTCTCTAGATATCTGGGCAGGATGCACAGAACTGCTGTCACCATCTATCTGGCCATTCCCGAGGGCAGCAGACAGAGGATGCCAGAACAGTGGACCCGGGTCCCGAGGTGCTGGAGACACCGTCTCTGGGCTTTGTGTTACATGAGATAATACATTTCCTTATTGTTTAAGCCAGTTTGAGTGAGGAGTTCCTGTTATTTCCAGCAAAACTCACCCTAACTGGAAAAAAACAAAAAAACGACAACCAAAAAACAACCCAAGAGCTAGGTCTGAGAGAAGGCATGTAAGTACAGACTCATAAGTTACCAAAAAATAGAAAACAGTACAGTGTGCAGCTGCATACCACGGACGATTTCCTAAGAGAGTAAAAATTTTCAAAATTGACTCTAAAAGAGATTTTAAAAAGCCTGATCAGACCAATAATGACAGGTAAAAAAAAAAAAATGTTTGTCAAAGATCTAGCCTGAAAAAGGCATCGAGCCCATCTGGCATCCTAGAGGAATGCTATCAAACCCGAATGAACTGGTAAGGGGGGGACCGCGACCCTTGGAAACTGCAAGGAGCAGGGTGGATTCGGGGAGGGAGGACGGAAGCCCCTCCTGGTGGTGCCACAGGGGCGGCGGGGCTGCAGGCACCTGCTGCAGGCACCTGCTCCGGGTTTAACTCCCAGGAGACAGGAGACAGCTGGGTGTGGTGCTCTCGCCTGAAACCAGGGGCGGAGCCAGCACGACTACCCACATGGACTAAGAGGGGAGGCAGGGCCGTTCTGCCAAAGCAAAATAGGGCTCCATTACCAGAATCAGGGGACATTCATGGTGGGGGGCAGGGCGGGACAGTAACATCCTACACCTTAATCAGACTGGCAGAAATGAAAAATGCCCAGGATCGGCAAGGGGTCAGGGAAGGGGCATCCCGACATGGTGTGGGAGGACGTGTAAGCTGCTGCTTTTTAAAGGACAACACGAGAGTTTTCTTTGAGCCAGCGATTCCGCCTCTAGGAATTTCTCCTGCAGAAACACCACACACGCCATCGAAAACATCATCCAAGAATGTAGCTCATTGAAGCCTCCTGCATAAGCACATGCACAGGATGAGCCTCTGACGGTCTCAAAGCTATACATCTGTATTAGATGCATAGCAAAAAACATCCAGACATACACAGCCAATGTCCAGCACTGGCGACCCAGAAAAAAGGGTAGCAACGTTGGCAGTGAAGACAAAAGGGAACTTTCCTTGTTACTCTGTATTTTTTATTGTTTGAGCTTTCTTGCTTACGATGAGTGTGACTTTTTGCCTATGTGTATTTCTGAGCACGTAAAAATATAATGTGCCTGAGACAGGGGCGCAGGTGGCCTTCCCTTAAATGTCAGCGCCAAGTCCTCCCGGTTTGCGTGTTTACAGGTGATCTTCATTATCTTTTTTGCATATCTGTTTTAATGTTATAAAAAATATTCGTGTAGTGAAAACTTACGTATGAATGAAAGAAAATAGGCTGCCACTATGTAATTAGTAAAGGGACACACATCGTTACTATAAAAATGGGTCAGAGTACGTGAACGGGAAAATCACAAAAGCAGAGTAGAAATGGCTGATACGCCTAAACTCTCTAAGGCTACAGCGCGCAGCTTGGCATCTAGTAAGGTCCAGGACCGATCACGGCCGTCGCGGTCCCTCGTCGCTGGAGCAGCGCGCGAGCGTGGAGTCTGACCGTGGGACCACGGAGCGACGACGGCCCTGGCCGCCGAACGCCCAGCGCCAGAGCGCGGCACCGGGAAGCCGTGTCAGGGGCCCAGGAGGAGGAGGCCCCTCCAGGGGTGCCCCCCGGACCCCCAAGGAAGCCGAGGGCCACAGCTCTGACCTGCTGGGAGGGCGTCCCTGAGGTCATGTCCTTCTGGGAACTGACAGGATAACAGCAGGCCAGGAAGAGTCAGCAGTCTCCACCAAGGCCCCGCGTGAAGCACAGCTTCCTGAGAACCGCGTTGCAACATGCAGCGATTGTTTTACGTGCCAGGAGAGGAAGAGGAAGAAGACATGGAAAGACCATGAACCACTGGAGCGAGAGCGCTCGTTTCAGGAAGAGCGACGCCCACCCGCACCCTGCCCTGGCCCCCGGCCGCCCGCACTGCCCTCCCGAGGCTCCTGCATCAGCGAGAAGGCCCCGATCGATGGACTGGATCGATCGATCGATGGACTGGCTGGCCCTCCTCCCGCGTCGTCTGCACCAACCAGGGGGCCTTTCTGCACTCGTGCTGGGGGTGGGCGGCGGGGGGGAGGCTCTTTGGCCCTGTTTGACCTGTAGCCAAAAAAGGAAAAGGAAGAGGCGGATTCCGCTTCCCCAAAACCGCCCGTCATGTGTCGGCGTGGGCGTCCATTCCAACAGTCCCAATCGTGCGCATTTATCTAACTTGTCTCATGCGACCTATAACGCAAGCATTTCCAGAGTTGCTTCAATCTCTTAATAAAAGTAAGTTTTATGTGACAGAGGGATCGTGACAGTGACAAGTGCTGAGGCGCAGGTCGGTACGGCCCGTCATCTGGGAGCACGTGGCCTGTGGCTTTCGGGACTCACGCAGGTAACTCCGAGGGTTCAGGCCGGAAGGCATGGATCCGGCCCCTGGCCCTCCTCCCGCGTCCCAGGCGAGACCTTCAGCTAATGTTCTGGTAGTCCGACGGCTCCGGCTCCTCCTCCAGGGCCTCCGGGTGCAGGAGGAGGGAGTAGGTGATGCTATTCTCGTCCTAGATGGACACACAGAGAAGCACGGGGTGGATGGAGGATAGAGGGGT